AACTGGCTCTCCAGCGGTCAATCGCTCACGGAAGGCCTGTCGGCGTGATCTGGCCGAACCCCTCGATCGAGCGTTCTTAATAGGAAAACTTAACGGGTCCTATAGTGCACAAAAGAAACGGTCTTAGGCCCGATTGTGACATGTGACCTTTTCAATCCCTGTACCATACCTGACTCTCTCGCTCCACTCCTGCTACTATGACACTCTTACTTTTCTTCTCTATAATTTTAACGGTTTTTTTTTAGATTGTTCAACTGCTCTCGTTTAAGGTTACTTGGCAAGTGGCGGAAGAAGTTTCCGTGCTACTAGCCGTTTCCTTTCTCTGTACTTCTCGTACCCATTCTTTTATGTTCCACTGAACTCAAATTTTTGGCTCATCACCTATTCCAGCAGTTGGTAGTAAACTGTGGTACTGTATAGTGTACTAAAACTAGGGGTATCAAATTGGCAATTATTATTTAAATTCAAATGGACATGCAGAATACGATAAACATACAGAAATACATCAACAAATGTTACAAACGGTAACAGCACGCTGCCGCATATTCGCACTTCTATCATCGAGGCCCTTAGTGTGGAGGTGGAATCACCAACCGGAAACGTCCGGTTCATCGTCAGTGTGCTGCCAGTAATGGATTAGGCATCCAATTCAAGCATGATCTGACCACCATCACTCGCACGAGCTCACGATTCGTCATTGGGGGCGATTTAAATGCCCGCCACGAAGCATGGCGGAACTATCAGCGGAATCAGAACGGACGTCTGCTCTTCGACCACTCGCAACATGGGCTGTATACAGTGAAATTCCCTGATGAACCGACATTCATCTCTCCGGCGGGAAACCCTTCCACGTTGGACTTTTTTCTATTGAACATTGGACTAGCCTCGATGGCGATCAACGATCTCAGTTCCGACCATCAACCGGTGGTGGCTGAAGTTGGCACCCACGTGGCACCTGCTCAAAGCCTGCGCAAAGACTAACATCATGTCAACTGGGTGCAGTTTGGGCATGTGGTCGACAGAAACATCGATATTGCTGTATCGCATTTGCTTGGCTCTACTATCCAAAGTCCGCTCGAAAACCAGGTGACGCAATGCGTCCAAAATGTAGATTACTCCCCTTGTGCCGTGCCTCCGGAGGATAGAATTACGGTAGAACAGATTTGCTCAGCACTGAAATATTCAAAGAATATGAAGGCCCCCGGTTTTGACGGCGTATTTAACCTAATCATAAAAAAGCCTTAGCATGAAAGTCTATGCAGTTTTAACTGCCATCTTCAACAACAAGTCATTCTCAATAGATTGCTCAAGTTTGTGGAGGAAAACAATATTCTCCTACCGGAACAGTTTGGGTTCAGGAAGGGGCACTCCACCACCCATCAGCTAGTACGGGTGATGAACAACATTCGAAGTAACAAGGCTGTATCCAAGTCCACAGCCATGGCCTTGTATCGTTGAATGGTTGTCTCTCCGACAAATTTTCCATCCCGGCAGGCATTCCACAAGGCAGTTTGTTGGGCCCCTTGCTCTACAGCTTGTATACTTCTGACATATGTATATTCCTATATATATATTCCTCCCCTCGGAGACGGTTGCGTGTTCTTCCTGTTCGCAGATGATACCGCGATATCAGTCAAGGGCAGAATGCCTCGCGAAATTACAAACAAACTACAACGATGCCTTTACACCTTTGCTGACTATGCAAAAACTTGGAAAATCAAAATCAATGCCTCCAAAAACCCAAACTATCATGTTCCTGCATAGACAATCACCCAAACTGATACCGGCACCTTCTTGCACAGTAGTCATGGATGGAACAAGGGTTGAGTCATAGAGGTAACTCTAAGACCACTGGGTCCCGAAGAAAATCATTATTATTTTTGGCTCACTCAGTACTAGAACAACAGTCCCAAGCAGTCCCAAGCTATTTCACTCACCCCTGCATGTTCTGCATGAATCCACACACCCCTGATGTTATCTGTCAAACTTTCATAGCTAATCAAAACAAACATAGTGTAGTAATAGAATTTCAACTAGAATAGGGTACGTTAATCGTTTGCTTGGGACCAATAGGCTACTAAAGTGGTGAGCCAATTTAAAATCGTTAGTTTCGTATTGATTGTTGGTATAAGCATAGAGGTAACTCTAAGACTAGAAGGTCCCGAAATTACGTGCTCAACTTTTTGCTCAGCTCTGGTACTCTCTTCGGTCCCAAGCTAATCGATTCAACCCTCGAAACATAGGAAAAACCACTAACCCCTCATTTTATCTGTCAAACTTTCATAGCGAATCAAAACAAACATTGCGTAGTACTAGAATTTCGACTAGAATGGGGTACGTTAATCGTTTGCTTGGGACCAATAGGCTAGTCAAGTAGTGAGCCAATATAAAATCGTTAGTTTCGTATTGATTGTTGGTATAAGGAAGCCTTAGCGTGAAACTTCAAAGGCACAAATGTCAGCTTCCACAAAACATACAAATTTGAAATTGCTACTCTCTGTTTGTAGTAGCACAGCAAACAAGGAGTAGCAATTTCAAATGTGTATGTTTTGTGGAAGCTGACATTTGTGCCTTTAAAGTTTCACGCTAAGGCTTCCTTAGAGTTTCACCTTAAGTGTTCAAGCTTAGTTAGGTGTTTGATTTCTCGCAGATCCCGCCTCTCTAGGGTTAACAAACTGGCTGTCTACAATCAAATCATAGCACCTGCAATTTTCTACGCTGCACCGGTGTGGGAATCAAGTGCTCAAACTCACAGGAACAAAGTCCAGGTAGCACAAAACAGAGTGCTTAGGATGATACTCGATCGTCCCTTCGACACTAGAATAACAAATTTACACGAAGAGGCAGGCATTGCCAAAATAGATTCCAGAATAAACGAAATTAAGACTAAATTTGCACAAAAATGTAATGTATCAGAACATGCTTTGATAAGCAATTTGTATATAGTAGGTTAGGTGCATATAGCATTTGTAGATTAGTTGTAGTTGAAAATAGTAGTTATAAGAAGTTTCCCTTTTCCAATTTAAAACAAACCAAAAAATAAAAGGTGTGGAAGCTACCTTTCTGCACATTCGATTGCCGTCAATGGATGTCCGTCGGTGATTAGCACTAGATTGCGGAACAGAGACCGACGTTAAATAAAGGAATGAAGAATGAATAATGAAGAAGTGTTTTAGATTCGAAGAAAGGGCAATCACACTATTGCCTGGAGAAGAGTAGCATCAACCGGTGGAAACTAACGATTTTAAATTGGCTCACACTGCACTAGCCTATTGGTCCCAAGTACATCTATAAACGTACGTCATTCTAGTCGAAATTCTAGTACTACACTATGTTTTGATTCGCTATGAAAGATTGACAGATAAAATTAGGGGTATCGTGGATTTTCCTATGTTTCGAGGGGTGCATCGATTAGGTTGGGACAGAAGATAGTACCAGAGCTGAGCCGAAAAGTTCAGCACGTTTCTTCAGGACCTTCTGGTTTTAGAGTTACCTCAGCGTTGCTCTTCATACGACGTATCTCAGCTGTCAAGCCAGCGATTTTCTATTCAAGATCATGAATGCCTGTTGAAGACGATGGTGGTTGTGTTGACGCTTCAGCTACGTAAGGGTTGGTGGCATCGACCATCTTATCTTCCATCTCAGCAAGCTTCGAAAAACTGCTTTGGTGCTAGGTGTAACAGGCAACGGATTTTCAGAAGTAAATACACAAAATAGGCATCCCGTTAACAAGCACTTTATTCGGTAGTCCGATCTGCTCAACTGGCTACTAACGACTGATACAATGTGTTTCTACTCTATGGAGGCAAGTGATGCCAGTTCTCCCAAATTCAATCTTCTTACACTAGGTGGCATTTCCTGGAGAAAAAGCATCTGTAACAGCTCCTCGTTCACGTTCAGCCCTGTTGCAAGTTCTTGCATTGTTGCAAGTCTCAGCAGTCTTTCCAGCTTTTCCTGTGCAGAGAGCTCAAGCAAACGTTCCTTGATGGCTTGGTATTTATTTTCGGCAGGAGTATTTGAAACCAAGTCGGCAATGTGCTTGAGCACAGACTGATCTACCTTCGCCAAGATGTGGTAGAATTTAGTTTGGTCGTTCTGTATAACACCGAGTGCAAATTACGCTTCTGCCCAGCGTTGGAAAAGATCGCGATATTTCACGAAGTTCACCAAAGGAAAAGTTCGCGAGTCATAGTGAGTTTTGGTGAACTTTTCCATCACTGCTTCTGCCTGAGCGAACCACATCTGTGGATCTGTTTTCATGAACTCAGGCAGCTTTACTGCTACGGCAGCTGTGGCTGGAGCTGGAGGATTCACCATTTTCTTCTCAAGCAAACGAAGATGGCACCGGCGGTTGATTTTTTTTTCTCAGCACTTCTCAACGACTCGCGGAAACACAAGTCGGCGGTCACCAATTGTGATTTTATTTCATTGCTACGCGACGACGGAGTACATACGAATGAACTTTCTCTCTAGATCAAACCAAGCTTTTCACAGGATGGTTGGATTAGCAAGGCAGGGTTGCCATAAACTCAACAACGGAATAGTTTGGAAAAACAGCAGAACGCGTTGTCCCATTACATAAGAAGCAATAGGAGCGAAGCAATCTTGAAACGCGTTTTTCTCGGCTTGCTGATTTGTGCTATGCATGGGACGGGCTTGCCATGAGCGGCAGTGCGGGGGGTAGGACGGTGGACGAAACCACCTACCGCACTCTTCGGGGGATTTGTGTAGATTCAATCGCTTCTGAGCAGTAAATGAAATCATTGTTTTTGTTTTCGTTCTTGGTGCGAAATTGGTTTTATTGACAACTTGTTTCCAATAAATGTAGTTCCTTTTCTAAATATGTTTGTTTTCAACAATGAAGCGTGTTCTCTCCAGTACTGCATTTACTGTTTTTTTTATCTTGTTAAAATTTATTCCTCCGATCACTTTTTGCCGAATAAAAAAAACAAGACATGATATCAGTAAATAAGGGAACGAAAGAAAAAACGAAACCAACATACGAGTACTAATTGTTTTTATTAGAAAAAATAATAATTATCTTAAGACATAGTAAAGGAAACTGCTCATCGTTAACATATTCACTTGGGAGTTTTGAGAATTGAAATGTCGATGCGGTGTATGTGTGTCTTTAGCAGCGGGATACATTCAAACGGGCGATAGAAAAACACAGTTTCATTAAACTGACAACTTGAACATGCATCGTTTCAGTTAAATACCGGTGTTGTAGTGGTGGCTTGATGGTGTTGTTTCTTCTTCTTTAATTTTCTATTATAAGCTGCATTAGATTTTACAATTCCGGATGGTTTAAGAGGTGTTTAGGTAGGAAGGAATCGTAACAGACATAGGTGATAAATCCGGCCGGCGTTTCGTGTGTTTATTCGAGCAAAAACATTTAATTGCTTATGCAAGAGTCAACTCCAATTCCGCGGTTCGAGCAATCCGCAACAATCCTGTTTATTTTATATATAGTTCATTATGCATTTATAATATGTGTATGCGCGTTTCTGTGTATATGTGTGAGTGTAAGTTTGCGGACAATAAAAACATATTATTCCAAATAAGCGGATAAGAAAATAATATGATTACACAGAATATCGAATTGTTTCCTACTGTTGTTGGCATTCGGCCGGATTCTGGGCTTCCTTTTGTTTTTTGCCGCCGACTGCGCGACTTTTCCGGCTCTTCGGCGGTGGCCGTTCTTCCTCTTCTTCCTCCTCCTCCTCACCTTCCTCCTCTTCCATTCCTTCCTCATCCTCTTCTTCTTCCTCCTCCTCTTCCTCATCACCATCGTCATCCTCATCCATCACCTCGCCGGTGTAGTAAAGGATGGCTTTCGGGATGATGCGGGCCCGCAGGAAATGTCCAATCTCAAAGTCGGACGCCAGCAGCATCTGGGTCTCATCGTCGACGTTCTTGTCATCGTCCTGCACCTGCGGCGGGTTGAAGAAGTTGAAGAACGAATCGTTCGGCAGCGTCTTGGTCAGGGTACGGATGACGCCGCGCTGTTTGTGCTTCTGCTGCTTCTTGACCGTCTTGACCGTCACGTTCTTGCTCGGGTTCCACTGGATCGAGCAACCGGTGCACTTGTAGATCTCGGGACCTACCGGGAAAGGAGAGATAGTGGTTAGTTATGGGAAGAATATGCTTGATTGGTTATCTTTATTTACGAGACTTTCAGTCTAAAGGCTGAGGGAATAAGATGTTTGTAGATGCTTCCGTAGTTTGAGATTATTCTGAACTCGATTAACACAGCAGGGAAGGTTCACATTAAGATAATTTCCAAGATTTCTGTTAAATTTTATCGAAATCTGATCAGAAATGACGAAGTTATGATAGTTTTAGAATTTTTTGGTATCAGACGATGGGGATTTGAGATTTAACCAAAAAAAATTGCTGGGTTCGATTTCCGACCTGGTCTAGGATTTTTTCGGGTTGGAAAATTTCTCGACTTCATTGCATTTGCCATAATTAAAATAATGCTAGAAATCCTGGGACATAGTGAAATCCGTTGGCCGAACTTTGGAGAACACAAGCTGCCTTCGGGACAGGTTCTTTTATATTCTGGTATGCGAGGTGAAAACGCTCCGCGACATCGTGCAGTTGGCTATCTGCTTAGCGCCCAAGCCACAGGCTGCGCTCATCAGGTTGGATCCTATCAATGAGAGAATATTCGTTGCCAGATTCAGAACACGGGTCCGAAACCTTACCATAATCCAATGTTATGCGCCAACCGATGCTGCCGAATTGCAGGACAAAGAGAACTTTTACAGTCAACTGAATGCTGTCGTGGATAAGACTCCAAGAGGCGATATCAAGATCTACACAGGCGACTTCAATGCGAAGATCGGCTTCGACAACTCGGACTATGAGCGCATTGTGGGACGCCATGGTCTCGGAGATATGAGCGAGAACGGAGAGCTGTTTGCAGAGTTTTGTGGCAACGACATGGTGATCGGGGGTTGGTGGGCGTTGGCCAGATTTGGATTTTTCGGATATAATCCTAAATAGGACCTAGATTATTTAATACTCTAGTATCCTCAAGTCCGTGCTCTGTCACAATGTTTCATTGTGATTAATCAACACTCAAAGGGGTAAAATCTCAAATTTGGGGTGAATTTGAAAGAAAGGTAACTTGGAGTGTAGAGCGCACTGCCCACTGGACGATTCTGAAGCCTGGCCAAGTGAGTGGGGTATGGGTTTATTTGATTGAACGTCATTTCCAATGTATATATTGATACATTCAAACCATTGGCATTTGAGATAAGACAGAGATAGGATGCGGAGGGCCCGCTTAGGGGAAGCGTAACCCATGTTATGGTTTCCATTTATTAAATAGTTCAGATAGGCTGGAAATGACAGGTTCATAGTGAGAAAATGTACCATATGGGGCCCGTTCACTGATCAAAATCAGATTCACATCGTCAGACTCTGCCCAAGAATAAGGGGATTGACGATGTCTTGTCAAGTTTTATTTTGAATTTGCGTTTTGCATTTAATACTCTAGTAAATCTCGCGTCCGTGCTCATTCACAACAGTGTGATGTGTCAATACTCGCTGGGTTATATGTCTTAGACCAGTTCCATATTAGTTTGCTATTAATATCTTCTGCATCGCAGTTCGCGATAGATTACTTATACTCTTTTCCGACTATAATAGTGTGAGGGAAGGGGGTGAGTTAAACGTTGCGATATGAGAGCGAATAGAGGCAAATAAATAGGGAAGACAACACCATGACCCAAATAAGTAACCAATGCATGCGGCTCACACTTAACTTGTTCTATTTATTTCTTTCTTCCTATCATGTACTAATATTAACTGCCTGAGGACAAATGGGAACACGACCAGAAGATCAATAGGAGAAAAAGAAAATTCGAACAAGAAAAGAATAATTAAACTTGCACCGGCAAGAGGAACCAGACATAAAGGATCATGCCGGTTGGAGACAGCCAATGTATACTGGACGAAGCTTGTATCTAGGAAAAGTCGTATGTGCAGGAAACCGTAAGTAGGATAAGAATCGTATAAGGTGTGTGCTTGCTTGATAAGATCCTAACTTTACTTTAAATACACGGTAGGAATCGAATATCCATTTATGATTAAGGTTTTGCCCATTTTTCAGTGGGAGTGGCAATACTCATTGATGAGTGATTTATCGTACCCATTTATTAGTAACTGTTAGCAGCTAATGATTAATTGATTTACCTATTTTAGAATTACCTATACTTCACATCAGAACCTCATTTCCTTCGAATACTACTCCGTCGCAGCACACACCTTATATGGATCGCTAACTTTTATTTAGTTTCAGCATTTTCGACATTATAATCAAAAGGTGAGTTTTAAAAGTATAATTACCATGCATATAGATAAGTTAATGTACCAGAACCTGGACGGACACGAGCCTACCCAGGGGAGGACCCGGATACGACCACCCATGTGTGTCTAGAGTATCGCACGAGCTGACGAGTGCAACGGGAAGGACAGTAGGTGTATAGACTAGGGGGTTGGTCCCTAGATAAGCCTTCTTAGCGGAAGGCACAGCCTATGCACTGAACAATTACAATTACAATTACAACGACATGGTGATCGGGGGTTCGCTCTTCCCCCATCGCCCAGTGCATAAAGTCACATGGGTCTCCCGTGATGGATATACAGAGAACCAAATCGACCACATCTGCATCAGCCGAAAATGGAGACGGAGCCTTCTTGATGTTCGGAATAAACTGGTCGGTGAGATCCGCCTACGCATTGCGCTGGTTCAACGGCGGGAGGAGTTACTCGGGCGGCGATTCAACACACGCCGATTGGAAGACCCAGCTGTGAAGAGATCGTTCGTCGAAGAACTCGAGGCTCACGCAGCTAATATTCCGTAGAAGAACAATGGACGAGCGTCAAGAATGCCTTTATTGAAACAAGCGAGAACAACCTCGGTGAACTGCGCACTCAGAGGAAGGAGTGGATCACTGATGAAACCTGGAGGAAGATCGAGGAGCGGAGAGAAGCAAAAGCCGCGATAGAGCGAGCAAGGACCCGAGGAGCCAAGAACGAAGCCCGTCAGCGGTATTCGGCTCTAGAGAGGGAAGTTAAGCGTTCCTGTATACGGGACAAGCGAGCGTGGCTGATGAAGGGGAGAAAGCCGCAGCAACTGGTGATATCCGCCTCCTCTATGATGTTTCACGACGCCTGAGCGGGGCAAGGATGAACCCAAGGATGCCTGTGAAAAACGCGACTGGACAGTTGCTCACCGAGCCCACTAACCAATTGAAACGTTGGTTTGAGCACTTTGAACAACTTCTCGAAGTTTCAACGGTCAACCAACCATCAACATCTCGGCATGATCCGCCAAGGGTGAGGCGCGTTACTCGCGTCAACACTGAAGCTCCATCATTGCAGGAGATAGAAGCAGCCAGTATGAAGTTCAACAAAGCCCCGGGGTAGAACGCATATCAGCAGAGATGCTCATCTGACCCCATGCTATCCTCACAAATGTTGCATCAACTGTTCGTCAATATCTGGGACACTACGACTTTTCCGGCCGACTGGGGGCGTCTTGGTAAAAGTCCCCAAGAAGGGGGATCCAACTGTATGCGACAATTGGCGAGGCATCATGTTACTGTGTATTGTTCTCAAAGTTCTGTGTAAAGTTATCCTCAATCGGATACAGGAGAAGATCGACGCGACTCTCCGACGACAGCAGGCAGGATTCCGTGCTGGAAGATCATGTGTGGACCATATTGCCACGCTCCGCATCACCTTGAAGCAGGTCAATGAGTTCCAAAAGTCCCTGTACATTGACTACGAAAAAGTTTTCGACCGACTTAACCACGAAAACTTGTGGGGCGCTCTGAGACGCAAGGGAGTCCCTGATAAGATCGTCAACCTCTTCGAAACGCAGTACGAGGCTTTCTCATGCAGAGTGTTGCACAACGGAGCTTTGTCTGACCCGATTCGGGTAATCGTGGGTGTGAGGCAAGGATGTATATTATCACCGCTACTGTTCCTCATCGTAATCGACGAGATTATGGTTGGAGCCGTTGACCGTGTACCGAACCGTGGGTTGCTGTGGCAGCCTATTACTATGGAGCATCTCAACGACTTCGATTTGGCTGATGATGTTGCGTTATTAGCACAACGGCGGTCTGACATGCAGAGTAAGCTCGACGACCTTGTGGAACGCTCCTCTGAAGCAGGTCTAACCATCAACGTCAACAAGACCAAATCGTTGGATGTTAACACGGAAAACCGTTCCAATTTCACGGTAGCTGGGCAGGCAGTGGAGAAAGTCGAAAGCTTCCAATATCTTGGCAGCCAGATAGCGTCGGATGGCGGCACCAAGAGCGACATAGGTGCACGGATTAAGAAGGCGAGGGTTGCTTTTGCCAGTTTGCGAAATGTATGGAGAGCGAATCAGATCAGTCCACGCACCAAAATCCGAATTTTTAACTCGAACGTGAAGTCTGCGCTGTTATACGCCAGTGAAACATGGTGTGTATCAACGGAGAACACTCAGAAGCTGCAGGTGTTTATCAACCGATGCCTGCGGTACATAATTCGTGCCTGGTGGCCCCACAATTGGATCTCAAATTCCGAGCTTCATCGTTTGTGCCATCAGAAGCCCCGATAGAGACAGAAATTCGTGAACGGAAGTGGAGGTGGGTCGGCCACATACTACGACGGAACAGAAACGAAATCTGCAAGCAAGCACTGGACTGGAATCCAGCAGGACATCGCAGCAGAGGCAGACCCAGAGGCTCGTGCCGGCGGAGCCTAAACAGTGAAATTAAGAACGTTGACCGAAATTTGACTTGGGTACAGGCCAAAGCTAGTAATCGCCCAGGATGGAAATCTTTCACAAAGGCCCTTTGCACCCCTGGAGGTGCGCATGATCGTTAAGTAAGTAAGTAAGGAGGAAGGAGCTCAACGGTCATACAACGACTATTTTGCAGAAGTAACTGTTTACACGAGCGAATAGTTCCGAAGACGCTTTCGTATGCGTAGGTGATTGTTCTTGTGTATTGCGAAAGCATTGGAGCGGAACGAATATTTCATCCAGAAGCCAGATGCAACAGGAAAGTGTGGATTGACAAACCTACAAAAACGCACGGCAGCAATCCGACAGTTGGTATATGGATCTTCATCGGATGCTACTGACGAATATGTTCGGAAAAATGTCTGCGGGAATTCTGCCAGATTTTTTAGTGAAACGTATCTGCGTTTTCCAACCCGCGAGGATCTTCAGAGGTTGTTACGTATCGGAGAAGAGCGGGGCTTTCCAGGAATGCTGGGTTCCCTGGACTGTACCCACTGAAGATGGCAGGCCAATATAAAGGAAAAGAAAAGAATCCGATCATCATCCTTGAAGTGGTGGCATCCCAGGATCTATGGATGTTGGCATGCATTTTTGGAATGCCTGGTTCTAATTACATTAACGTGCTTTAAAGATCAACGTTTTTCACTTGTCGAATTGTCAGGCACAATAAACAGAGTGTAAACAACAACCGCTCACACGACAGACGTTGATATTTAGGCTTATTGATTTACTAATCAACAAAACCGAAAATCCACACAAGTGTTGCAAGTACCCCGTTTCTAGTCTGAACTCTATTTGAATTCTCTTTGAAATTGCCTTGGAATGCTCCACAGAATTCTCTTGTAAATTTACTTTGAATCCTACTCAGGATTCCATTGGAATTCCACTCAGAACTACCATGGAATTCCCCTTACGTTGCACTTCACTCCTAAAAATTCGTCGTTTGATATTCTCCCCTGGATTCCCTTGAAATTATTCAAGATCTCTCAATACTCGCATGAAGAATGTTGTCATGGTTCTTGGAATTTATTCCAGGTCCGTAGCCTTGAATATTTATGTTCGTTCCAGATTCTTGAGAATTTCTCCAAGTTTATTTCATTGCGCCCAAGATTTCAAAAAGTAGTCTAAGTTTAAATCCTGAAGAAATTATCATGTGCTAAAACCTTTAAAAACACACAATTAGAATATATAAGAATAAATGTAACTAACGAGTAAACTAACAAACTAACGAGGAAGAGTTGGATTGTATTATAAACAATATTTTAAAATACCTGAGAAGGTTTTCTAGCAAAGTTCAGAGTATTACATTCTTAAAAATTTGCTGAATTCCTCGTTTTTTCAGGTAAAATAAAATTCCTCGATTTTCCAGGTTTCTCCAGGTATTAGACGAACATTGTTTACTTCAAATCGTGTTGTTGTCTTCGGAGCTTTTATTTCTTGCTGCATAAGGAATAAGTACACCGAAGACAACAAAACGATTGATGTAAACGTGCATTTCTATCACACTTTTTAAAAAGTGAAAACGCAGAATTCTGGTTGACGTTCTACACTAATCCTTAGATCTGTTACTCTTAAAATCGACTAATAAAGAAAAACTCACCTTCAAAGCTGAAAGGCTCCTCCTCATCCACTTGGCACCGCATGAAGTATGTCTTGGTCAGAACCGCATCCTTGAAGAAGGCGTTCGGCGAAAAGTGGAACTCCAGCACGTAGCTCATCGGATCGGTTTTGTACACAATGTTGACGTTGGTCAAATGCTCCAGCAGCGCTTCGTCGTGCGGTTGGATCATGTCCGCCATGGTCTGAGTGTTTTTGAACACGGTCAACCAGAACGCCGGAATGCCCTGCGATTCCTTGATGACCTTCGAGTGCTGGTTCTTGTAATTCAGCGCCATACGCTTGAACCGCTCCGTCACTTCGGCATCGATCTCCTTCTCGTCGTCGCTCTCATCTTCCCATTCGGCTTCACCGGCTTCCAACTCGGTTTCCCCAGCGATGACGCCCTTCCGACGGTCAACCAGCGGCTGATACAGTTCCTGATATTTGCACTCCAGGGCGTACACTTCCTCGAAGAATTTCGCCTCCAAATTGAGATACTTCTTCTGCAGATGCTTCAGGGCGTTGATCTTATGTTGTACATTGCCGGGCAGCGCCTTAATCACTTCCTTCATCATCATGCGGCGCGAGGCCGAACACATGTAAGCCGGATCGTCTAGGAACTCTGGCATCTGGTCTTCGCTATCGGAGGCAGACTCGACGGCCTTCACGGCGTTGCTTTCGGTTCCAGTCATGTTGTTCTAATTTGGCTAGGAACAGAACTGTCAATCTAAAACAAAGTGGGAAACGGAAAATATCGATTAATTCGTTAATTACTGCTAAAACATCGATTGAAAATTTTGAAATGCAAGCAAATCTAGGAAATGACGCACTTTTTATCCTGGAATCGAGCACATAAAAAAACAACGAGCAAAAATCAAGGTTATGTTCTAACTCGCTCGCCTTTCCTCCAAACAGTGAACATGAAGACATGAAATTCCCACTTGGCAACAGGCTTTCTTGTGTTATTCCCCCAGACACAAATTGCATGTTCTAGCTCCGAAAGGAGCTATCCCTCTTCACGCAAAGCAACGGACCAATTACGACGTCAATCACGCAAATTGGAGTATCTGTATCTACCTACCGAAACGGATCGCACACGACGGCGAAAAAAAGAGTCGGAAAAAAGCACATGTGGATTCTTCTCCATTTTGCGACTTACCTTCCCTGATTGAGGAAAAAATATTCTCTTCTATCACAGGAAACACCCTTCCTTACACACGCTGGTCAGCGGACGGAAGCACCAGGAGACAGCTGGTTCTGGTGGCACACGCGAAAATTCCTTCACTGCACGAATCCTTTCGAAGGTTTTTCACACCAGGAAAACTCGAATCACTCGCCAACGACACGACCAACCGGGAAACAGTAGAAAATGCGTGTGAGCCAAGCAAGCACACTTCCGAACGGGGAGAACACAAAAGAAATGAAACGGCCAGCCACAAGGCTTCGGTGTGAGAAAGAACGAGATGAAGCGATAATTTTGCGGTGACCTGCGAGGTGAAGAAGCGCCTGAGAGATTTTTGACAGTTTGGTGCCTTTGCCGCTGGTTCTGGCGGGCATCAGGAAAGGCGGGATAATTTTGGAACCACACTGTACCAAACCACCGTCCGCTGTTCGAATGAAACCTCAGACCATTCAAATCGAAACAGAAACCCGCATAAACGTGAACCATATATTGACCTTACCTAAAATGGTTAAAAATTGTTTATAATCCCTGCTAAACTTTAACTGAAATGGTTATGGAACTTTACATGAACGTTTAATGATAAAGTTTCAACCTTATGTATTATGGTTTTTTGGAACTGGACCTTACAAATAATGGTTAGCGGTGGTCTGATCTAGATCCAAATTTATGTCACATTTGAACCAGCTAAAATTAAAAAGATCAAGCCAAAATAGATCAAACTGTGTGCGTACGCACCGGTTGGTCTATTTTTGGCCGTTCTATTTCAAACGTCAAAACCCGAGTCATAACCAACTCACACCCGGATTTCGTGGTCAGTCATTTTTTAATCTCGTGCGCATTCGTACACGGTTTTCATCCGGCAATTACCGTGAAATTGACCTCCGATGGCTGTCTCCGGGATTGATGTGCGGCTTTAACAAAAAGCCTTGAACTGCTCGTCCTCCTGCTTCTCGTGAAATAATAATAAAACCTGTATTTATTGAAATTTGTCTGGTATGTTGTTGCGTGTTGGGTTTTGGCCCTAGTCAGAAAGTGGACAATTCCCTGGGGGGTGCCCGGAACATACCAGAATGTGGCCAATGTGGATCTGGACACCATATTTGACTTAAACTGATCTTGTTTTTCAATTTCTGTGAGATTGTATGTGTCAAATCACAGGGTTTGGACCATATCAGAAACTAGTCACTTCCCTAGGGGTTGCTGAAAGATGCCTGGAAGTAAGAAAGGTGGTCCTGGGCATATTATTTGACTTCCATTGATCTTGGTTTTGAAATCTAATGTGATTTGCTATGTGGAGCATGATGGGTTTTGGATTAAATCAGAAAGTGACCATTTCCTTGGAGGTGCCCGGAACATATCCGATAGGGGTCAACATGATTCTGTGCATTATATTTGACTACTATTGATATTGCTTTTGAAATCTAATGTGATTTGATGTGTCACATGACGACAGGCATGACGAGTTTTGGACCAAGTCAGAAACTGGCCCTTCCCTGGGAGTTTCCATAACATGCCCGAAAAAACCTGCAGAACAGAAGCGTCCGGATGTTTCCCTTGTGATCCTTTCGCAGCTGCGACGACAGGGCCGGCAGCAACAGCAGCACCGATAGCGCGATAGACCTGGAACTACACCAATGTCAACAGCAGTCGATTGTTCCGCCCACGTTTCTTAGAAAATCGAGGAACTAAATGGGTTTGTATTGCAGAAAAAAACCCCAACAACGAAACAAAACAAAACAAAATCTCGAGTGCAACAGCTGTCAAACTAGTTTGGAACAGTGCTTGCCTTGATCCAAATTCAGTTCAAAATAGATCGAGAATTATACTGGTTTAAAAAAATCACATTTTAGAACTAGTCTAAAACAAAATATAGACCACCAGTGCAAGGGCTCGGCCTGGGTCTGTTCCAAAATTTTAGACCAAACGAACCAATTGGATCGCCGCTAAAGATGCCCTTATATAGTTCTCTTTCTGAAAATGTATGGAGAAAACAAGAATTTGGAATGGTAATGGTTCTTAACAACCCATTATTTGTAAGGTCCAGTTCCAAAAAAACATAATACATAAGGTTGAAACTTTATCATTAAACGTTCATGTAAAGTTCCATAACCATTTCAGTTAAAGTTTAGCAGGGATTATAAATAATTTTTAACCATTTTAGGTAAGGTCAATTTATGGTTCGTGTTTATGCGAGAATCGAATGATAGCTGCAACCGCACGGATAGAAATCTCCTTATACCTTTTGGCAAATTTCTATTGCTGATTATTTATAAAATGTATAAGTCAACTAATAAGCAGACGCCTTGCAAAAAGCTAATAAAGATCATGTGTCAAATGAAATGTATAAGCGGTCACACCGAGGGTCACACATACCTTTAATGCATTCTTATAGGACCTATGTGGTTTGTCTTATAGAATGTATAAGCACAGACAAACAGACATAACACTCACAAGTTGTTCATCGAACAAGCATTTAACGGTCAATTTAAAAGTATCTCAGTTGGTAGTACTGACACATGTTGCGTGCATAGTCAATTCCCTTGCGTTTGACGTTTACACATTACCGCCATCTGTTCAGCGAACTACCCACCACAGTGTACTCAACAGATGGCGGTAATGTTTTAGTGACAATGTTTTACAATGAGAGTTATGTCTGTTTGTCTGTGGTATAAGGCTGATGTTTTGGCAAAAAAACACATGGATAAAATAATTAACTACTTCATTCGAGCAGATAAAATGACGTTTACTACGTCATGCTTGTTTACTTTGCACGATAGGTAGCCGGTTTGACAGTTCAATAGGTAGACTTGGCTTCACTCTTGGCGTGACTCATTATACACCGACTCTAGGAAAAACCAATAACCCCTCATTTTATCTGTCAAACCTTCATAGCGAATCAAAACAAACATTGCGTAGTACTAGAATTTCGACTAGAATAGGGTACGTTAATCGTTTGCTTGGGACCAATAGGCTACTAAAGTGGTGAGCCAATTTAAAATCGTTAGTGTCGTATTGATTGTTGGTAGTAGTGGTGTTGCCAGGGGTGTTGCCATGTGGTACACTAAAAAATTGCAATAGCAGGTTAGTCACCAAAGTTTTCGAGCCGCTCCGTCTGTCACTGAGATTCTGCTTGGAAAGCGCAATAAAACCATAAAACTTTATGAAAAAATATAAAATTCAGTACCAACATTTCAAAGGGGCGTAATTGCTTTTGTAAACAATGGCTTTAGCCGTCGATTTCTCGCAAATAAAAGCCCACCCTTCCAAATTACCAATGCTAGCTGGTACAGGAAACATTTCTCTACTTGCTGGTGTCATTCTTTTTTATGAGTGAGCTTTCATTCGCGAGAAATCGACGACTAAAACCATTGTTTACAAATGCAATTACGCCCCTTTGAAATGTTGGCACTGAATTATTATTCGGGTAAATTTGGTCGTTACGTAATATTTATATGGTCCTCGAAAAAGTACACGCTGTTGTGAATCACCCCCTTGAAACCAATTTCCCCGCGATGTTGACCAGTCGGCTTCGTGAATCGACAACCAGACGACGCTAGTGGGTGTGAGCTTGTTTGGCGCCAAAGCAAATCAGATGTCATCGAAAAGGATCACAACGCCGCACTGAACGGTTTTACGCGGGTTACATTTTTACGAAAATAATACATTTTGGTCGTAATTTTAGTGGTAATATGGTTTGAATTGGTTTAGTGAATCTTTTAAATCATGTGTGACTCACCAAGTAAGTAGAATGCTGCATTTTTGGGATGGGAATCAAACAGATTGATAATAGAAAATTTCTACGATCTATTGACGATTATGGCATATTTCTAAATATAATCACGATTATGGCAGGTTCAGATCAGCGGAGCAAACGTCGGCGGATTGATAAACATGGTCGGTTTGCGGCTCTGGAAAAGCTGAGGAACGTAAAAGCGGGCGGCGGTAAGCATAAATACGAGGTTGACGAGCTAAAAAATGTGTACGATGAGGTGGACGAGACCGAGTACGCCAAGATTGTGAACGAAAGGGCCCGGGAGGATTTCGTTGATGATGATGGTAAGGATGTGGATGCAGCAGGATGCTTCAGATAAGTTTCAAAATAGATGCTCTGAATTTTCAGATGGATGTGGTTACGGATACGTGGAGAATGGCCGGGAAGTGTTCGACGAGGATGAGCTGGAAGAAGAGGGACCCAGTCGCAGTAAAAAGGACAAGCATCCAAAGGGAAAGAAACGAACGCGGGACGAAACGGCGGCTCCCGTGACGGGAAGGAAGTCCTTGAAGAACTATTTCAACAAGGAACGTGAAGCGAAGGTGAATATTGCGGACGACGATGTTCTGGCTGATATTTTGGGTGAGATAAATTCCGAGAAGGATGGTGGTCAGAAGGAGAGTGCCGTTTCACAGGCAAAGGAGATTCGACCGTTGAAGGTGATCCCGAAGCCGAAGCCAGTAGATAAGGATGAGGAAATGCGGAAGTACATGGAAAATTTCAGCAAGAATATCAAAAAGACCGAGAAGGTGGAGGAACCAGACAGCGATGAGGAAATGTTAAATCGAGTTCTAAAGCAAAGCACTTCGGTTAGTAAGCCGAAGGTAGCGGCGCCGGTAGTGAGGAACGATGCACCAAAGGTTGTTAAGGAAGCATCTCCAGTAAAACCCATTAGCAAGCTTGAGATCAAGCCTGAGCCACCCCGAGCGGAAGAAACGGAATTTTCGCAATTGGGTAACGATTTTCTGGATGACGATTTTGATCTGACTGGAGCGGAAGCCGAAACGCAAGTAACCCAGAGACGTCCGATGAGTCCGGTTAAGCAGGAAGCTAAGGAGGAAGTCAAAACTGATTCCGAGAAACTGCTAAGCGGATGGGAAAACATTTGCGTTTCGGAACTCGACGACGATATGATGGCCGAAATGGATACGAGTATTTCGGAAGGTACCAGCTCTACGGATGGCGATGAGACAGTACGGTTTTGGTTCTGGGATGCCTGGACAGATCCGGGCAAGTGTCAGGGAGAGATTTATATCTTTGGTAAGATGGCCACGGGGAATAAGCAAAACGAGTTTCAGTCGGTTTGTATCCACGTGCAGAATGTGGACCGTTGTATGTACATGTTGGCACGGGAGAAAGAGTATGATCCTCGAAGTGGAACGGATACAGATAAAGACGTGAGCATGTTGGATGTTTTCAACGAATTCTGCACCGACATCAGCACTAGGCTGAAGGTGACCAAGTACAGAACCAAAGTGGTGACGAAGAACTTTGCCTACACAAGTGGAATGGCCAATTTGCAAGTTCCAGCACAAAGCGAGTACCTGGAAGTTCGTTACAGTGCTAAGCTCCCCCCACCGGAAGTAGACCGGAAGTATCGCACCATTTCGAACATCTTCGGAACCAATACGAACGTTGTGGAGCAGTTCCTGCTGGAACGTAAAGTTAAAGGTCCTTGCTGGATGGAGTTGAAGAATTTCAAGAAGAATTCCAGCCCTTCCAGTCATAGTAAGGTGGAATACATTGTTCCGGATATCAATTGCATAAGCGTTGTCCAGGATTCTTCTACTGCCGCGCCTCCTCCATTGGTCATCTGCGCCATCAATGTGAGAAGTATCCTGAATAAAGGAACGAACGAGATTGCCATGATATCGATGCTGGTGCATAATCGATTCCCTCTGAACAAGCCCGCTCCGAATCCTCCCTTCAATCGCCATTTTTGCGGAGTTGCTCGTCCGAGCAGCACCAGTTGGCCGTTCGATTTCAATCCAAATGATCCCAAGCTCAACACTAAGGTGACCAAGTGTGAAAACGAACGAAATTTGCTGATTTGGTTCATCTCGATGTACGGGAACATTGACCCGGATCTGATCGTCACGCACGATGTGTATGGTTTCCAGTTGGATCTGATCTGCCAGCGGATGATGGCCATCAAGATTCAGCAGTGGGCTCGAATCGGACGGTTGAAGATGAAGACCCCCTCGAGCAAGAGGGTCGATGACTTCTTCGTGGGACGGATGATTTGCGATGTGAAAACCAGTGCCGAAGAGTTGATCAAGTCCAGGAGCTACGACCTGAACACCCTTTGCACGGAGGTTCTCAAGGTGCAGGACGGCGAGCGGAAGGACGTCCTGCTGGATGACATTCCCGGGATGTATGAAAGCTCAGCGGACCTGAAGCAGCTGATCGGTTTGACCATGCAGGATAATTTCTACACCATGAGGCTGATGTGTGAGTTGAACGTGCTGCCGTTGGCACTGCAGATTACGCAAATTGCGGGCAACTTGATGAACCGAACCCTGCATGGAGGCCGAGCGGAGCGGAATGAGTTCTTGCTGTTGCATGCGTTCAGCGAGAAGGACTTTATCGTGCCGGACAAGGCGCCCAAGGCGGGACAAGGTAAGTTGGGTTGTGGCTTCTTAATTTCGATTGTTTCAACGAATTACACGAGAAACACTTGTCTTTGAGGCCATCGTAGAAAACAGTAAATAGCTGCCTTCAGTAACAAATTGCTTTTCAAATTTGGTGGTTAGGTGTTCAAATTTATAAAACTGAGCCTTTACAGACGCTCATGAAAGTTAAAGAAACATCATTTGATTTCAGGATAGTTCGCAGAAGTTCGAGAAACTGCGTAGAAGTTAAGAAAACTTTTTAGAAGTTCAGCGAACTTCGAAGGACTTTAGTGAACTTCGTAGAAAAACATAATATTACAAAAGTATATCAATTTTGGTAGAAGTTTAGTAAACTTTGTAGCACTTCATTGAAATTTGTAGAAATCTAGCGAACTTACGAGAAATTTCGTGAAATTCTGTGCAGATATTTTTCTTCAGCTTCATGGAACATAGTAGAAATGTTGAGAATTTCGTAGAGCTTTAAAGGACTTCGTAGAAATTCAGGGAATTATGTAAAAGTTCAAGAATCTTCGTAGAAGTGGAGACTTTGTGCAAGTTTGGTGAACTTTGTAGAATTTAAAGGAACATTGTTTAATTTCAGGGCATTTTGAAGCTATATTCTAATGTACCAGAAATGTGAGATGTGATCCTTTGCTAACAGGATCTGTGATGTGTTTTATGTCTGTGGGAAGTGGAATTCGAAAATTTATTATTCAATACTAATAAACCGTATGGTTATTCAAAGGTTTCACCCAGGAGGGTCCGGAAGCGATCGCACAACGGCGCAAACCGAAAAGCAAAGCTGCCTACTCCGGTGGTCTGGTGCTGGATCCGATCAAAGGCTTCTACGACAAGTTCATCCTGCTGATGGACTTCAACTCTCTCTACCCGAGCATCATCCAGGAGTACAACATTTGCTTCACCACCGTGTTGCCACCGGCCGCCGAGGACGAAGAGGGAGGAGGCGCTGCAGTCATTCTTCAAACCGAGGAAATGGGAATTTTGCCACGTCAGATCCGGAAGCTGGTCGAAAGTCGCAAGGCGGTGAAGCAGCTGATGAAGGCGGCCGGATTGGAGCCGGAATTGAAGATGCAGTACAACATCCGCCAGATGGCACTCAAGTTGACGGCCAATTCGCTGTACGGCTGTTTGGGTTACACCAGATCGAGGTTCTACGCGCAGCACATGGCCGCGTTGATTACGTTGAAGGGACGGGAGATTCTGATGAACACCAAGAGCATCGTGGAGAAGATGAACTATCAGGTGTGTATTATATGTTAAATGCAAGAGGTGGCCTGTAACAAACAATTCTGTAACTCCAGGTAATCTACGGGGACACGGATAGTATCATGATCAACACCAATAGCACCGACTACGAGCAGGTGTTCAAGATCGGTTCCAACATCAAACAGATCGTTAACAAGACCTACAAATGTCTGGAGCTGGACGTGGACGGAATCTACAAATATCTGCTGCTGTTAAAAAAGAAGAAGTATGCAGCCGTTACGATTTCCAAGGCAGGAGACGACTACAAGTGCACCCAGGAACTGAAGGGTTTGGACATTGTTAGACGTGATTGGTCCAAACTGGCGGTCATTGCCGGTAACTTCATCCTGAATGAGATCCTCTCCGACAAACCGATGGACGAACGGATCGAAAATATCCACATGAAGCTGGAGAAGGTCAAAGATGATTTGCTGAGTGGAGTGACGTATCCCTCATTGTTGGAAATAACCAAACAGTTGACACGACCCTTGAACGAGTACTCGGATACGTCCCAGCTGCCCCACGTTACGGTGGCAACGCGCATGAACAAGCAACGGAATCGTAACTTCAAGCGTGGAGATGTCGTTGGTTATATCATTTGCGAAGATGGCACATCCGCGGCAGCTATGAAACGAGCTTATCACATAGACGAGCTGAAAGATCCGGCCAACAAGGACAAATTGAAACCGGATGTTGAATACTATCTGGCGCAGCAGGTCTTCCCGGTGGTGTTCCGTATCTGTGAACCACTGGAAGGAACCGATGCTTGCCGGTTAGCACTCTGCCTCGGGCTGGATCCGAAGAAGTTCCAAAGTTTAGGGGCCCTTAGAGACGGCGAAAGGGACTACGCCGACGGAGAAGCGGCTCAGAAAACCATCACTCAAAAGTACCGACTCTGCCACCGGTTTGAGTTCACATGTGTGACATGTAGCACGAAGAATCCCGTCGCCAGTGGCTTCAAGCGGGATGGAGGAAGGTACAAATCCGTGTTCGAGAAGTGCTGCAACGAAAGTTGCACCGTACTGCCCCAGCAGTATCTACCGGCGATAGTGAACGAGCTGACATTGGCCCTTCGAAGCGACGTGAAGCGATTCTATGAGCGGTGGATGATTTGCGACAATCCAATTTGCAATCAGAACACCAGGCTGTACTCTCATGTAATTGGGATACAATATTTCATGCACTGATTCAACTAATCCATACCGAATATCTGTTTCAGGTGGCCACCAAGAACAACCCCCACTGCCTACACTGCCAGAAGGGTTTACTGGTGCAGCAGTACTCGGAATCGGATCTGTATCTTCAGCTCAACTACTATGGCTACATGTTCGATTTAAACCAATACGACAACAAGGGTAAGTGCCAACATTATCCAATACATTTTCCCTACTAATTGTTCACACTCAAAATCACCATCCCGACAGTTACGAAACTCCTATCGCCCGAACTGCGCAACATGTACACCACGCTGGGTGCAACCGTTGAACGGTTCCTATCGCGGTCCGAATACGCCAACATCAAACTGTCCACCCTCTACTTGAACTACGTCATCAACCCCAGTTCGCGCCAAGCGAAGATCTATCCCGTCAAAGAGCTGGCCGATACCATTGCCAGCGAGGAAAAGTCCTCCTCTGTCATGGGAGCGGGCCGAGTTCGCTGGGATCAATACATAAACTACGGATGAAGCTATTTTCTTATACCTATATATTTTTAATCTTAAAGTGGGAGACAAATATAGATGTAACGATGAATAAGGAGTTGCGGTTGTAGAATTTTTGACTTTTAGATGACAGTCCTTGATTTTGTTGCCTTTTTTGTCTACATAGTTAAAGCCTGGTGCATATACAATATACCGGTTGACTCTGCTGAATAGTCTGTGTGGATATAACACACTTCTCGATGTATCGAGTTGAGTATAATCGGTCCCATTTTGACCCCAATTGGATATTACTTGGTTCCGGATATAAGGGAAATGGCTCTAATATTGGCCTATGGACCTGTGGTGTGCAATGCCAACACTGGACAACAGCGTGCACCTGGATACACCCCTGCATCAAAAGCGACCATGTTGATTTTAGTTAGTAAGTTTGGGGACTAGGGAGAAATAAACACGTTGTAAAGTCACAAACATTTTCGATTTATTCTACCGCGGAATTCTCCTTCCGGTTACCACAGATCTTAAGATTGGACCCAAGGATACAAATCTCATATTTTTCAATTTTTCTTCGTACAATACATATGGATATTTGGCTGCTAGTCAGGGATGGATCGCTATTTTGGGACTTTTTCATTACTTTTTTAAATATAGAATGATAACGTTAAATCCAATTGAATTATCAGCTAATTTCTAATCAGCTAAATTCTAATAAATTCAGCTAAATTCAAAACTTCCGCACCGCAGAGCCACACTCGAGTGCACCTTTAGTGAAAACACAGTGAGGCTCTACGGTGCGGAACTACATATTGATAGGGAGATTAATAGCTTTAAGCTACTTATTTTACGAGAGGTTAACTGAAAATTCAACTAGATTTAACGTTAGCATTCTATAATAAAAGTAATGAAAAAGTCTTAAAAGAACGATCGATCCATCACTGGCCCCCTCCAAATACTTTCTTTCAAAATGTATGCATGGGCCCAACATTAGATCGAAAAGTTAATTCCTTTCTTTGCAAAAGATGTCATACGAGAAAGGCACGAGCCGCCGCTATAGGAAGATCAATCAATCTGTTATTTTTTCATTAATAAGTAAATTTTACAGCGAAATGTGTAATAGTGTGCGATCCATCCCATTGATTTTTTCGGCGGGCGGCAGTAATCAGTCGGCATAGAATGATACATCAGGATTTCTACACGCACACTATCGTGCATTTATTGCGTGCTCTCGTTCTTCACTACACGCATAAAAATGCACCGTTCCTGCGGATCCCAGATTCAGATGGCACTAGTGTGGATATTGAATGATGGGAAATTTTACCTCTCTCCGTTCATATCGGGTAACCCTTTGTGAGACGTGCTTGGGTTTGATTCGTGCAGTTTTTGACAAGAAATACACAGACATTGGGATCTTGCAATGAAACATGTAATCGTTCGCCATCTACACTTCGAAGTGAGAACTTGATCATGTTCATAAAATTTTGCAAAAGTGATTTTCAGGAAAAATCAAACCATAACTCTGATATGGACAAGCCTAATGGCAAACAATTTCATAAATAAAGAAAAAAAAACTATCCATAACTGAAAATTAAGCTTTCATAGAAAAACCACAGACAAACAGACATAACACTCGCAAGTTGTTCATCGAACAAGCTTTTAACGGTCATTTTAAAAGTATCGTAGTTGTTAGTACCACCACATGTGGCGCGCATAGTCAATTCCCTTGCGTTTGACGTTTGCACACTACCGCCATCTGTTCAGCGTACTACCCACCACAGTGTATTCAACAGATGGCGGTAATGTTTTAGCGACGATGTATTACAGCGATAAATTTTCAATATGTTATGTCTGTTTGTCTGTGGAAAAACTTTTGACTGAATAGCGGGAAAAATAAATGTTTCTGTACCTATCTGTTATTCTTGACTCGATTCTTGCTGTAATTATTTGTTCACGTTCAATAATTCATAACAATTTTCTACTCAACAATTGCATTGCAATCTGTTTACACCTTATTTGTGGTGCAGTATTCATGGTGTTAAGAAATGAAATGAATATATCTTATGAAAGATCATCTGGAAAAGGGAAAGATGCACATCAATTTGATCGGTAAAACGTTTTCCTCTTCGATTCAAGGGTTATATTGGATTTTTTTTTTCTTTATTAGAGTGACTTTCAACCACTGGCTGGTTCGTCATTTAAAAAGGGGATATATTGGAAATATTTGACGCAGGTTTAATGATAATATTACGATTTCTTCGAAGACAACATAGTAATATAATAACAACATAAAACAACAATACTGTGTACTGTGTCTGTCGCTTGGATTCAGGCAAAGTTGCCAGTCTTCTTAATAATGTTGTCTTCGATTTAATGCTGATTTTCATGAATTTTATATCCAGCCTGTCAACAATATCATCATCATGCAGTGGCGACAGCTGCGTTGAGGCAATATCCCAATCAACGTAAGTCATGTTGACGTATGAAATATTTATGCAATTCAAGAGCAAATTTTCATTACGTCGAAAGTAACAAAAGTAAACAAAGTCGAGCTATCAGTTAGTTCCATTTTTAAATTTATTTACCAATCAAATTGCTTTTTGACGTAATCACCTCCCGATCAAAATATTTTTCGATGTTATTTAAGTCACCCAATTTCTATGGAGATGCCGTTTTTCTTAAATAATAGCGCAAAGAAACCCGTGAAAAGTGTACGTTCGTCGTTTCGCTTTCTCATTATTAAAGTGAATAAATTGAACTGTTTGTTGCTAAGATGATTTCGGTGGTGAATGGACCTCGGAATGGACTGCATGTAAGGAGACGTGATTGATAATTCTCCCGAATATCCTGGTAAATACACGTTGACTTAAGTAACATTAGGGGGCCACCAAACGACGTATAATAACTTTTGACCCAAAACCCATTATTTTTTAGAATGAAAGCTAGCGATCTACTTTGTATAATTAAAACCCTGCTTAATATGTTGAACATTGCTATCACTATGAGAATATATGCGTTTAATTGGAAATAGGAATAACTTTTCGGTCATCAAAACTAAACTTTATTTTTCTCGGATCGGTGCGAATGTTGCTTTCGACATAATGAAAATTTGCTCAACGTAAAAAAGTAGAGATTTTAAAAATTCCTGACACTATTCTGATGACTCTTTGTACAGGCAAAATTTGGGCCCACTACCTTATTTCTGTTTCATTTTGTATGTGCCAAACAATCAAAACATAGCTTCATGTTACATACGACAAACATAGAATTTCGACTAGAATGCGGTACGTTAATCGATTTGCTTGGGACCAATAGGCTAGTCAAGGAGTGAGCCAATTTAAATCGTTGGTTTCCACCGGTTAGTATACTACTTCCTACACTATATCAACGTACAGAACGAGAGTAAAATCGATTTCCGCTAGTGATTTATTCCGGTCTTCAACTGTACCGATAATATTTACTAAATTTAACTATAGTCGCATGAAAGTTCCAAGTTCGATGAAAGGAACTCATTTGCGAGGGGGGCGACACATCTAAATCTCAATTCTAGATGCTAACCTTAGCGAATCAATCTTCGAAAAATCATCTTTCATTTCTCGCATCTACTTGCATCGCGCTTCATCTTTTTGCAGGAAATCTTCAAAATTGACAAAAGTATTGTTCGGTTTCGATTGGGCTCGAAGCCAGAGGAGTTCAAGGGTCAAAAGGAGGAATGAAGGTGACGACGTTTAAAATCGGTCACGGTTTGAAGGTGTTCCTCGTCGGAAGGACAAACGAGTCGATGGCTGGATTTTTGAAATACTCGGTGAGAGGTGGGGATCGGGATCTTTCGTGGGAGGTTATTGGTTGGGAGCGGTATACAAGGAGTGAAGAAGAAAGATTCCTGATGCTAATGGGTTGCCATCCGGGGAGTGGTTTGAGTAGCGATTTGCGAGCTGTAGCCAATCAGCTTCAAGCAATATCGACGCGATCGGGTCCATTCGATCAGAAAGGGATACTTATGGACCAGAATCAGAGGAGGGAGGAGATGAGCATTTAAGTCGTATTCCCCAGGGGAATTCGGATTGGTTTCGGATTGACTGACTTGGCCCCCGGGATGGATCCTACAAACTCACCTACAAATAATGTACCCCACACGGATACGAATTTTATTCATTCAAACAAAAATATAAATGTTTATACTCTGAACATATGAATTATTCAAAATAAATTGAAAGCATGTATAAAACTAAAATATTTATGTTTGAATATAATTCAAAAGCATGTTTATTTCAACCATATAAGATTTGGGTAAACGGTTTTTAGCGTGTCTGCCTTTTTATTTCCTTGTGCCAAAGTTGGCTAGTTTGTATGAAAATCGGCCTATTGTGCTGATTTAAAGGCAACCACTGTAGGTCCTTTTTACGATTATTTATGAAAAAAAAATCAAATTAGTCCAATGTCCACCAGGTAAACTGACTTTTTTTGATGTCGTAAAATTAAATATTTGGTCGCAGCGTGGAATAATAAATACAGGGCTGTTACAAGATTTTCTAAAATCGATCCGTGAAATCCGCGATTCCTCAAAATAAATCCGCGACTTCAAATACTAATCCGCGACAAAAAAAAAACTGTTTTCATTGCCTAAAAATACCATTTGTATAATACTACATGGTATTTCAAGCTTATTGCTTATAGCACAGACAAACAGACATAACACATTGAATATTTCTCACTGTACAACATCGTCGCTAACACATTACCGCCGTCTGTTGAGTACACTGTGGTGAGCACTACACTGAACAGATGGCGGTAGTGTGTAAACGTCAAACGCAAAGGAATTGACTATGTGCGCCATTTGGAGGCGAACCAGCCCAAGGCTGAAAGCCTCCCTAATAAAGTTAAATAATAATAATAATATGTGCGCCATAGGTGGTGGTACTACCAACTACGATACTTTTAAATTGTTCGTTAAATGCTTGTTCGATAAACAACTTCCGAGAGTTATGTCTGTTTGTCTGTGCTTATAGCATATTAGATTTTTGCCTTCTCTCAACTTAGTACTTCAACTTTCACATTTTAATTGAGAGCTTTCTATACCTGTACCATCCTATCCTCAATTTTCCAACCCCAAAAATTAATAGACCGGACGGGAATCGCACTCAGTCGCCTCCAGCATGGACCTGCTTTGTAGCTGCGTCTTTACCAACTGAGCTAAAGGAGTATCGTTTGTAAACTTAAAAAAAATATTTATGTATAGTATAAATTCTGAGTAATTATGTAACACCCTTACATTATGAGATTCTCTTGAATAATACCGGCCTAGATTTGATGAAACATTATTTAAAAAATTTATGTATTTTCATTTGAAATGCAAATTTTCTTGAAAGTTAACCTTTGCGTCTCTGACGTTTTTTGGTGTCCTTAATTGTATAGTTAATTTGGCTCTAGTTTTCTCAATTTTTAACCGATTCAAACCAAACACCCTGCACATAATCGAGAAATTGCCAGAGTTTCATAAGTCACACTTATTGGTCACGTCGCGGTTCTGTCTCTACATGGACATTCCTTGGGGTCTGCCGAATCGTATTCATGTGACTGTGTGGATCATGAACGACTTATTACGTTATTACTATGTATACCGGAAATTATAGGTTTTCCAAATCGTCCAGGACATCAGTTGATTTGTTCTTCTAAATCAACCAAGACTACAATAATGTCTGTAGTATCAAAAAATGTCCAGTCAGATTCAAAGTGTCTATGTGGATCATGCATGATCTATTTCCGAGTAATCCAGATGTTGTAGGTTCTTCAAATCGTCCTGGAGTTCAGATAATTTGATCTACTAGATCAACCGAGATTGGGACAATGTCTTTAGTATCTAAATATTTCCAGACAAATGCACAGTGTCTATGTGGATCATGCATGAACTATTGCCATGTATACCAGATGTTTTAAGTTCTCCAAATTGTTCTGGAGTTCAGATGAATTATTCTACTAGGTCAACCATGACTGGGATAAAGTCTGTAGTATCGAAATATTGTTTGGATTCATAGTCTCTATATGGATAATGTTTAATTATTTTCACGTATACCAGATGACTAGGTTCTCCAAATCGTCCTGCACTTCAGATGATTTGTTTTACTAGATCAACAAAAACTAGGATTATATCTGTAGTATCGAAATATCGATTTGGAAATCCTAGAACATTTGGCATACACGGAAATAGGTTGGCATGATCCACATAGACACTGCAAATTTGTTTGGGCATATTTCGATACTACAGATATTGAATTAGTCTTGGGTGATCAACTAGAAAAATAATCTGATCTCCAGAATGATTGCAGAACCTATAACATCTTGTATACGTAGCAATAGGTCGGGTACAATCCACATAGACACTTTGAACCTGCTTGGACATATTTCGATACTGTGCGGTATACAGTCATGATCGATTTGATCAAAGTAGGCTAAGCTTCGTATATTTGAAAACCCAGAACTAGTCGCTTTTCATTCCCAGGAGCTCCAAGAGGTAAGTAATAATTTAGCTGCAAGCTACAGCGTTGGGGGATTCCCCTTTGAACCAAGTGGAAATTCACAGATACTACAGACATTATTGCAGTCTTGGTTGATATAGTAGAACAAATCAACTGAACTCCAGGACGGTTTGGAGAATCTAGAATATCCGGTATACATGGCAATTACTCGCATATATACGATTCGTTTATGATTTGACAACGAAAAATGCTATGTTCATATTGGAAATAAAAAAAAACATGATAATGTCTCACATTGGACAAACCTCAGGGAATTTCCGTGTAAATCCCTCGGTAAATCCGGTATGACTTATGGAATTAAGATCATTTCTAGATTATTTGCAGGGTGTTTAGTTTGAGCCGGTAAAAAATTGAAAGCCAAATGAACAACAAAATTAATGACAGCTAAATAATACGGGACGGAAAGGTTACAATGAATTCCACAATTTGTGTGACAGTACATCATTCAATTCGCTATTTTCGCGACATCATTTAATGTTTCCGCAATTTTCGCGACTGAAACTTCAAATCCGCGAAAATAGCGAAATCCGCGAAATTCGCGATATCCGCGCCTGTTGTAACAGCCCTGTAAATATTATTTGTTTCTCAACAATGAGTCCTGACTTCAAATTCCCTTTATAAAAAGTGACCTCTATATGTCATTTTTGTAAGTTTTTCGGTTCCTTGGGAAATCCTAAAGTTAAATTTTGATTTTGATCATGTTCATGAACAAGACAAGCGGTGCTACCCAAAAGGGGTGTTAAAAGCTGGGTAGAAAACAAAAAAGCGAAAATTAAAATTCCCCCCAGAAAAAAAACTACCCACGATTCCGTTGGTTTTTCGTTTTATTGGCCGTGGACGTTGGTGTTGGTGCTTGATCACGCGACAAGCCGACGGCGACCAGGGGCTTGGTGCATTGGTGTGCGTGCGCGCGCGTTTTGCTGACGGAGGTAGAAAATTTCCCTTTCGTACGTGTGGTGTGGCGGCCATCTTGTACCTTTCGTGCAGTTTTTCGTTCTAACCTAAAAATATAGGAGCCAACCAGCCTACCCATCCACTCACTCATCATAGCCTACCTACATGTTATTTAGATTTCTAAGAAGTTTAATCTTTTTTAGTTTTCTAATTAGTATTTAAGGCATTATTAAGATTAAAGCAGAGATTTAAGTATAATAATTTTAATAACTGAAACGTAAAGAAGCCGATACCGATAAAATATAGACAGTAAGTAAGTTAGTTTTATCGCAAAACAGATAAAAATATCCGGGGCAAAAGTGTGAGCACCATTTTTTCGAAGAAGGAGAAAAATTTTGCTGCTCGCTCCGCGAAGTGAAGTGATTTCGGCGGAAGAAGAAGAAGAAGAAGATCGCAGCGTGTACGGGAATCCGCGCGTGCCGTAGTTGGAAGCTCGAGAAGAAGAAGATTTTTCGGGAAGTGCGTCGTGGTTTGTTTGTGGCCGCAAAATTAGTGCATTCGCGGTCAATAGGATGCATCCGTCGAAAAAGATGAACGCGGCTGAATTAGATGACCACGAGAAGGGCAAGCTGTTTGTCGGAGGACTGTCATGGGAAACGACGCAGGAGAACCTGCAGCGCTACTTTGGTCGGTATGGCGAGGTCATTGACTGCGTGGTAATGAAGAACAACGAGACGGGTCGTTCCCGTGGGTTCGGCTTTGTGACTTTTGCCGATCCGGACAATGTCGAGCGGGCGCTGGAGAACGGTCCGCATACGTTGGACGGGCGTACGATCGATCCGAAGCCGTGCAATCCAAGGTCACTGCACAAGCCGAAGCGTACCGGTGGTTATCCGAAGGTATTTTTGGGCGGATTACCACCGAACATCACCGAGACGGATCTGCGAAGCTTCTTCAGTCGGTACGGTAACGTAATGGAGGTGGTCATAATGTACGACCAGGAGAAGAAAAAGAGCCGTGGGTTCGGTTTCCTTTCGTTCGAGAACGAACCAGCTGTGGAACGGGCCACGGCGGAACACTTTGTCAACATCAGCGGCAAGCAGGTCGAGATCAAGAAGGCCGAACCACGGGATGGTAGCGGTAATAATAACAGCATGAATGCCGATTCCTACCAGTGGGGATCGCCACAGGCTCCGCCAATGGGTAACGGGCAGATGGGTGGACCTCCGATCAACATGCAGTCGAACATGATGCAGGGTTATCAGGGCTGGGGTGCATCCCAGCCGCAGCAAGGCTACGGAGGTTATGGAGCGTCGGCCGGAGCGGCCAATGCGTATCAAGGTTGGGGAGCTCCTCCGCCACAGCAGTGGGGTAATTACAATGCTACGCCCCAGCAGACCCAAGGCTACGGTGGTTACGATATGTACAACAGTTCCGGTGCCGGAAGTGCCGGCGGTTACGGTTCGGGCAATTGGAACTCGTGGAACATGCCCCCGAACACGGGATCGACTGGATCGGCCGAAATGTATTCGAGGCCTCAGTCCGGCCCAACGGCTGGCCCGGCTGGTTCGGCTGGCCCAACGGCGGGAGGACCTTCGAAGCCCGGATCCGAGTACGGCGGTGGATCGGCGTACGGTTCCGGTGCGGCTGGCGGTTATGGTGGCTACTATCAGAACGAACAGAACACAGCGGCTGCCTACAACAGACCACGATCGGCATACGGTGCCGGCAACGATGCGTCCTCGCAGCCACCCTATCCAGCATTTTGAGAGATGATGACGCCGACGACGACGAGCAGGATGCAACCGCCGCCTCCGCCGCTTCAGCAGCAGCAGCAGCAGCAACACCAACATCATCAGCAGCAGCAGCACTATGCCCAGCAGCAACAGCAACAGCAGCAGCTTCCGGGCGGTGCCAATCCGGCGGCAGTTGCACCCTCCTCCTTCGATCGCAGCTTGATTGGAACGAAGTCGTAAAGATGAAGAGATGAGGTGGAAGTGGATTATTTCTTATTATTTTTTAAAATTGAAAAACAAAACTAATTATACATACACATAATATAACAAGAAGAAAAGGAAGAAGAAAATGAAAAAGCACTATCTAAGAAGAAGGAAAACAATTATAAATATATTATTATTATTAATGAAAAAGAGAAGATGAAGCAAAATAAACGCAGAGAAGAGTTTAAAAACATAAACAGAGCAAAACACACAATTGGAAAGAAGGCAAAAAGATTAATCTACAAGCATAAGTACACTCAGAAACCAACACAAAACAAAAAAAAATGCATCTATATCCTAATATAAATGAAACCCTTTATTGATTAGTCTTAGGAGTGAAGCAAAAACGAAGAAATCTATCTAAAGAACAAAAACAAACGACATGAAAGAAGAAGTGGACAAACACTAATTGATTATAAAATTGACATGAATAATAAAATCCATTGGAAGTGGAATCAAAAAAAAAAACATCTATGACAACTTGTTCAAGAAGTTAATAAGAAAGTATACACAAACACATACAGACAGACAGACAAACACTCAAAAAACATTTGCATTCGATCCAATCGGTGATCAAGTCAACCCTCCCTAGTTCCTTCCTTACCTACCTACCCCCCTCCCACACATCCCCCTTCAGTTCAGAGCTCACTCTCTCGTTTAAGATAAAATAAAAATAAAAACATCAAGTAGGTGAATCCAAAACACTAAAATAGACTTAACGCAAGAGAAAACGAAACAAAAAATGATTGCAAAAAAATTGTAAAAAAGATGGAAATTACTTGAAAAATTTCAGCGGAAAATTTATTTCTTTTTCTAACCTAAAAAAAAAAAGTCTAACTTACATTGGAAAAGCCTCTCCCATATATTTTTGTTATGGAAACTTATATGGTGTCAGGAGAAAACAAGAACAAAAAAAAAACAGCAAAACCCCCGTCGTCTCACTCTATATTCTATTGTTTTTTTTTTATTTAGATTTTTGTTTGTTTGCTCTAGAACGGAACGATAAGGACTATAATAACATTACTCTAAAATACTTAATCAGGTACCCATAATAATAATAGTGACAAGTGAATCGAGTTTTAACGCGGAGAAGAAACAAAGCGCGATCCCCCCCTTTTTTGTTTGTTTCTTTAATTGTTTAAGTAATTGTGTAAAGTGATTGATTTTCGTTTTCGTATTAAGCTTACCACAAACTACTACTCCCTTAAGGAAATAAAGAAATGAAACGTACACAAACAACATTAATATACAATTTAACTAAAAGTAAAAACAAAAACAAAATGATGAGACTCAAAGGGTAAAGACTCTCGGCAGTCTGCCCGATTTTTCGCAAACTAATTCTTAAGTTTTTCGTCGTTCGTCGTTAAGGATCTAATCTTCTTATGTGAGGAAATTTGCTAAACATGTAGGACAAAGCCCCCTCAAAGTAAACTTACCACACTCACATACACACATACAGACACAAACACAATTACGGAAAAGTAAGTGAGATATTTTAAATATTTTAGCCCAGCCAACTGGTTGATCGACCTTGGCGTGCGGTTTTTGCTGGTTAAGTGCAGTGTAGATCCCCCCTTACAGGGCCGAAAGTCGCGTATTTTTTCGGATATAAAGTAACGTATAACGGTAAACAGTTAAAATATATGGAAACTCCTTGATCCTCCAAGAAGTCGTGTTTAAGCTTAACTTTAGAAACAAGAGATTGATGACTATGATGATGAGAGGTTAAATATGATTTGTTTTTTAAATTTAAAACCTTTTAACGATATATAAGCTGAGATAAAGCAGAACAACTGAAAATCGCATTCACTGAGACAAAACTGCGGTGCGGAAAGAGAGAAAGAGTCTAGCGATAAATTATTATGGGTAAGTTTGATAAGAACAAACACACACACACACACACTAAAAGTAAAGTAAAAGTAACAACAACCAACAAATTAGAGCAAAGAATCGTTGTCTGTAAGTGAAGTAATGCAAATTTATCTTAGAAATCGTACACGTATAGTTGAGTCACCTGATTAAGAGAGATAGAATGAGAAAAAAACTAGCAGATCATTTCTTGCGTTTTTGTTTTCCCCCACAGCGTGAAAAAGAAGAAGAAGAAGAAGAAACAGCGGTACAGGTTAAGAAAGCTCTATAGAAAAAGAAATAAGTTAAAACTTCTAAATCTAATCTTTAAAAACAACAACAACAACAAATCTCCGACTTAAGGGACGAGAAATGCGCCGCGCAAGCATTCATTGAAGCAGCAAATTAAAAAAAATAAAGCATTACACATTAACACAAAACAAACGACGAGAAACATTTCAAACATAAGAAATAGATTGATCCAGTCAGAAAACCAACCAAATCAGCAGCCTCTCGCCCCCTTTTGTGTGTTTGACATTTATATTAACTGATAAAATAGAAAACAAAAAAGCATTATTATTCTTCGTCGGGACTTGTACAAAGCAGAGCGTTAAGGAAGTAAAAGTAATCAACCTAAAACTGAGATGAAAAAAAAAACCCTACCTACTACTACTACTACTAAAAGTGAAGCAAAAAAGTTTGATAAGTGTCTTTCATGTTTTTTTTTTTAGTTAGACGTCCCCCGCCTCCCTGCCCCCTTATTTTTCACAATTTCCTCCTACCCAAATGGACTATTATTTTTTGTTTGTTTTTGCTTTCCGGAATGGGAAAAAAGTGTTTATTGGAATCGATATATTTTTTTTTCGTAGTAATCATATTTAGAAAGAGCCAATCAGAGAGGAGTGTAAAACCTTCACACAAACCAGATTTAATCTAAACAAAGCAAAAAAAAAAAACTCTAAGAAAACCTTTCTTTTTTTTTGGATGAGGGTGTGAGAAGTTTTCCTTTTTTCTTTTATTTTATTCCTTTTTTTTACAATAATAAATAATAAAAAAAAATATCATATATTAATCATCAAAGTATCACTTTTCGTATTTTTTTTGTCGTCTTCAATTAATCAATGGAAATACAAAATATTATTATTATTTTTTTGCTACTATTCAAAAGCAGCAGCGAAGATAATCTAATTTTTTTTTGAAGTGAGGACTATTCCTGTTCAATTCGAATTAAAAGAAGGTCTAATAAAAATGAAGAAAAATGATAATTGGTTTCGGTTTCGTTTGTTTTTAGTTGAGAAATTTCATTTCAGTTAGCTTTAAGTTATGGTTCGTTGATTTTCGTCTGTTGATTTCGTAAAATATTGTTTCGTTTGCTAGAGAATGGTTGAGAGCACGCTGTTGTATTGATATTTGAGGTGAAATGTTTTCTCAGTAAAATTGCGAAATGGATCAGTTTGGTTGCTACTACCTAAGAACCTGGAAATATCAGATGTATCCACGGATCTTGCCACGTAGAGGGTAAGTGTTTCAGCAACAGGACCATACGTTTCTATTACAGCCTGATTCAATTATGACCGTTCTCAGAAATTGGGATTACCGCAGGTTTTAGTCTTAAACAATCTTGCGAACATTTTAATTAGATGTCTTATAACACTTTTTGAATCATTGCAGATTGTCCGAGAGATTCAGATAAAGAGCAACCAAGGAATTAGCAGTGCTTGAATTGGTCGATCATAGTTTTGTCGGCTCAGTCAAACCCATCTTCAGTCACTGTGTTCGGTGAGTTATTATTCAGTATTCTCTAGAGTTTAGACAGCAGGGGGAATTTGCATTGCAGATGATAACAGTATGAAAGCAGGTTCAACAGTAACTTGCGGAATATTTTAAATTTAAATTTAGACACTAATATAATTTTTTTACAACCAATTTTGAGAGTAAAGAACTGAATTTCCATTTGAAAATTCTAGGTTTTTCCCCGGTTTTCCTTCAAAATCTCCTGGTTTTATAAATCATTTTTGAAGGAACTACGTGGACAGGACGGGGCAATAATGAACAGGCCGAGACTTAATGAACAAAAGAATGTTTTATTAAAGCAAACTTGAATTGCTCACATCGAGCTCTTGAATTGGAATGACAGCGAAAAATAACAGGAGCGACCAGGTCAGGTAATCCAACGACTACTTTGATTTCACCCCCTCTCGCTTGGATAGTCCCAGCATCGTCCGAAGTTTCTCAAATCTTCAGACGTCCAACGATTTAATGAAGAAGTCAGCCAACTGGTTGTTGCTGGCAATCGGCTCCACCAATAGCTTACCAGCAGCGACATGATCACGAAGAAAATGGAGTTTAATGTCGATGTGTTTTGCTCTCTTACTCTCCAAGTTCTTGGTCATACCAATGCATCCACGGTTATCCTCGTATATGGTGATTGGTTCAATGTTCAGCTCACCGAGATCGCCTAGAACACCGACTAGCCATATTGCTTCCGATGCTGCAGCACTCAACGCTACATATTCAGCTTCGCAACTGAAGTTTGCTTCTTGCTTGACCAAGCAACAGTACATCCGAAAACACGGAAAACAAATCCGCTTACTGATTTCCGGTCGAAAGTATCGGTGGCCCAGTCTGAATCAGCAAACCCGATGAGTGGCGCCGCTTGATTGTCTTGACGTTTAAAGCAACACTCCATCGATCCTTTTAAGTATCGTACAACCCGTTTCAGAGCTGTCCAATGTTGTTGTCCAGGTTGAAGTTGGAATCTCCCCAGATATCCGATAGGAAAGCAAATGTCCGGCCTTGTGGACATCATCACGTACATCAGGCTTCCCAATAATTCACGGTACAGTTCTTGAACACCTTCGGCCACTTGACGATCCAATTTCAATCCTTTCTCCATTGGCGTCCTTGTTGCATTGCACTCCGCCATGTCGAACTTCTGTTTTGCTGATCGGTCTTCAACCCAAGAAAGTGAGTCAACTCTCCACAATCGGTCATTTCAAACATCGCCGATAGTTCGCGTTTCAGCGTCATTATGGTGGTCAGCTGCATACCTGCTAGCAGGAGATCATCGACATACAGCACGACGAAAACAACGTTTTCCCCCTCTTGTCGATACGGGTGTATAGGCAATAGTCGTGCTTGGAACGTGTGAAGCCTAGCTTCAGCAGCGCTTGATTGAATTTTTCGTTCCAACAACGAGGAGACTGCTTCAGACCATACAACGATTTCTGTAGCTGGCACACCAGCCCAGGGTCTGCCTTGGCGCCATCCGGAACAGCCATGAAGATTCTCTCTTGTAGCTGACCATGAAGGAACGCCGTCTTGACGTCCATCTGATGGAACTGGAATCCCCTTTGTACGCCTACGGCCAGCACAATTCGAATCGTCGTCAACTTCGCAACGGGCGCATATGTTTCATTGTACAGGGTGTCTACTACCTGGAAAAAAACCTGGAAAACCGGGAATTTACAAGGAATTTTATTTTTCTGGAAAAACCTGGAATATTCAGAGAATTTTGGTTCCACTCAGGGAATTCTCCAATTATCACTTCATTCGTAATTCAAAAGAAGTTTTTCGTTCAGTTTCTCGAAACGTTTCTTAAGGACACTGAACTTGACAAGCATCTGACAGCTAAGACAACGTGTGCGAACGAGACAAGTTCATTCAGAGAGTCTTGTCACGCTCGCTCTTCGCTGATTTGTATGTGGAGGATCAAAATCGTCGTAAAAAGGAAACAGCCGAAAAAGAGAGACTGGCAACCGTCAAAAGGAAGCATACGAAGCATGTATTGTATAAGAATAAGCATGCCAGACAGCAGGTCTGAAACCCAACATAGAATTTTTTTTTGAGCTTCAGAGAGGGTCGGAGATCTACTGAGAAATTTGTTGAGCTTCAGGGTAGTTCGTAGATCTTGAGAACAGAACTACAAACAAATTAAAAGTTATTAACAGAAATAAATAAAAATAAAATCACAAGAGAGGTCGTAGATCTTCAGATAAATGTTCAAAGAAATTTTCAAAACTTCAAGCAAGCAAAAATAATTTCAAATCAATTTGTAAAGCTATAAGCGAAATTTTACAAATCTTCAGGGAAATTCGCTTAACTTCTGACAAGTCCAAGAATCTACAGTGAAATATAAAGTATTTCACAGAAGTTTGGAGATCCTCGAAACATTATTCAACATCACAAAAGTTCGTAGATCTTCAGAACAAAGCCACAAGAATCTCAGAAATGTTAATGGATCTTCAGTAAAAATTGCAGAACTTCAGGGATTTAAAAAAATAAATATTTACACGATTTCAAGAAAATTTGTAGATCTTGAGAGAGACATTTAAAACTTCAAGGAAGCTCAAATATTTTCTGATAAATTTTGACAACTTTAGGTAATCTTCAAGGAAATTTTCAAATCTTCAGGGTAACCCTAGAGGAATTTACAAAACATCAGAGAAGTTTGCAGATCTACTGAGAAATTTATGTAGCCTCAAGTTTTTTTTTGTAGATCTTGGGAATAGAGCTACGGAGCAAGACAACTTTACAGAACTTTAAAGATATTTGCAGGAATTTGACGGAAAGTTTCACAATTTCACACAAATGTGAGATCTTCAGAAAAATTCGTTAAATGTCAGAAAAGCACCTCAATTCCAAAAACAAATCGCAGCGAAGTACAAAAGTACAATATTTTGCAGAACTCCATGGAAGTCGGAAATAGATAAATCTTAAGAACTTCAGAGAAGTCCGTAGACCTTAAGAGATGTCTGTAGAACGTCAGAAAATTCGTACGTTTTTAGAAAAATTTGCAAAACTTCAGCAAAAGTTGCAGATCTTCGGGAAAGTTCGCCGATCTGTAGATCAAGAATCCACAAAGAAATTTAAATAACTTTAGAAAAGTTCGGAGATCTACTGTGAAATTTATTGAACTTCAGGGCAGTTCGTAGATCTTTAGAGCAGAAATACAGTACTTCAGAAAACTGTATTTCTGCTCTGGATGACCGCAGTCTCTAACTGCGGTCATCCAGAGGTGTCGATCTTCTCGATCTTCGATTTCGGCGTACGATTCCGGGGGATCTGGGAGAGTTGACATTTTACCAGCAGATGTTGCTCTTACCTGGGAGCCTGCGCTCCCGTTCACTGCGCCTAGTGTCAGACTCTGAATAGTCATCACCTCTATGTTGTGAAGGGAGCACCCCAGGGTTTTCGGATGCAGCTTCTTCGGTTGGTTCTTCATCCAGATCAACACTGCTTTACATATCCGGATCGACTTCATCTTCGGTTTCGCTTTCGATAATAGCTACTGTTTCTTGTTCGGCCGACGAATTGCCCCCCTCTGGCGGATACAGCATGGGAATCACTAAGGGAACCTTCGAACCTTCATCTTCTTCATTTGCGTATGGTAAAGAAGCTTCATCGAACTTGATGTCACGAGAGATGAATACTTTTCTTGCTTTTCTATCCCATAAGGGGTAGCCATTTGGAGCATAGCCAATCATGACCGCCTCCCGACTCTTGTTGTCCAACTTCTTCCTCAGCACGAGAACGCTTTACATCCAAAGATACGCAGCTTGGAGAGATCAGGTTTTGCACCTGTCCAGTGCAAAGCAGATGTACGATTATCCGACAGAGCAGCAGTAAGACACCGGTTCAACAAGTACGTTCCAGGAACTTTGGCATATTTGAGTCGATAAGCATGGTTCTCACCTTTTCTACTAGGGTTCGGTTGAACCGTTCAGCCACGCCGTTTTGTTGAGGCGAGTATGCAACGGTTGGCTGACTTTGAATTCCCTTTCGGTTGTAGTACGCTTTCTGTTCTCCGGAGCAATACTCACGTCCCTGGTCAACAGTTAGCTTGCAAATTCGTTTTTCAAACTGGGTGGTTACCATGGCTTCATACTCTTGAAAATGTACGAAGACTTTGGACTTTCTCTTCATCAGGTAGATTAGATGCACGTAAAATGGCTGCAGTGCTGAGATTTGTCATTGTCATTG